GAGTGAGGTATTACCCTCATGCAGTGCAGCACATGAAGAATTACATGGTCCCCAAAGAGGAGAGCCAGTTTGCTAAAGTGCCATATCCACAGGGGTAGGATCTCACAGGAGTTCAGAGGCAAGTGAAAGTTTATGAAAAACTGGAGTTTCCCAAAATCCCATTACAGGTGCCTATATGCTTATGGAAGAGACACAATAACATAGAAAGTTAGGGAGTCTCATTAAAAAAATTGGGAAAAAAAATTGTAGAACAACATTTCATGGCTGATGCTGTTTTGCCATTTCTAATAAGAAAGGAACAACACCTTATGCAGCACTGCAGGGTTTCAGAGTGACTTGTAGATCCTCTTCTCAAGTGAGCTGGGTTCTTGTGATTGCTGCAAATGCTTCAGTAAGGTTTCAAGACAGGATTGGGAGGAAAACAAAATCTGTTTGGGCCAACATCTGGATGAGTGTCTGTGTGTAAATGTGCATACACGCACCACGCTCCCCCCTCATAGCCAGGCACCAAGATCAGGCAGCTGCTAAAAACTAATAAGTGAATAAATGGAGAGTTACAGATTGGGTGGAAAAGGTACATGGGGAGGATAAATCCACAAACAGACTTTCATTTCCAAAGTGGTAACTGACTTATCAAGAGCTGAGATGAAGAGGAGAGTCTTGAGGTGATAAAGATCTGAGGATGACCACAGATACAGATACAGTTAGACATGATTTATCTTTCTATTCTGAACAGGAATGTAGAATTCACTTTCTAAAAATAATGTTTCATCAGCCAAGTTTTCCGTGGTGCCTCCAGCTTTCAGGGTTTGGCCAAGATGATGAAGAGATCATTCTGCTTTTCCAGTAGACAGCTTTTTAAGCTTTTTCCTTTCTCCTCAAACATGCTGCCATTGTTCTCTGGTCTGAACCCCATTCCTTCCCACCTGGTGTTAGCAATTGGCTGGGGTCAGGACCTGGGCTGGATCCCTTTCTGCCAGAGCAAGCTCAGCACCCACTCCCGGATAGGCTTGGTCCTCATTCTGTAGATGAGTGGGTTGAGCCTTGGGAGGCACCAGCAGGTAGAGGTCAGCTGTCAGGATGTGGAGGTGCACAGAGATCCTCTGGCCCAAGTGCTGAGTGTAGAAGGAGAAGAGCCCAGGCATGTAGAAGAGCAGGATGACACCTATGGGGGAGCCAAAGGTGCCAAAGGACTTCAGAAGAGTCTCTCTGGAGGAGAGACCTATGACCTCCCTCAGGATCAACAAGCAGAAGACAGCAATAAGGATGGAGACTGAGCCCGCCCTGACAGTGGCAGCCATGATCCTATAGACGCTGTTGAGCTGGGTGTCCCCACAGGCCAGCTTCACCACAGATGTGCTCACGGTAGGAGTGGGGAATGACACGGGGGCCACGGTGGGACAGGCTGGTCACGATGCACATCAAAGGCTGATGGTGGCGATGCCACACACTGCAGCAGCTAAAACCAGCTTGGCAATGGTGGGGTCAGTCTGGATGGCAGAGTAGCACAGAGGCTTGAAGATGGCCAAGTATTGGTCAAAGGCCATGGCGAGCAGGACCCCTGACTCCATTATGGAAAAGCTGTGGATGAAGAACATCTGGGCCACAGAGCCCTCAAAGTTGATGTCGTGGGAGCAGAACCAGAAGATGCTCAGGCGTTTGGGAATGGTGAAAGTGGTGAGCGTGAGGTCAGTGGCAGCCAGTATGGAGAGGAAGTAAAACATGGGCAGGTGCAGGCTTGGTCCATCCTAATCGCTAGGAGGAGTGTGATGTTCCCCAGCACTGCCATGATGTACATGGTGCAGAATGGGAAGGCAATCCAGAACTGAGCATCCTCCAGGCCAGGGATGCCTGTCAGGATGAAGGATGAGGGACTGGAGTGATTTGGGTAGGACATGAGGCACTGCTGCAGAGCTGGAAGGGAAGCCACAGGAACAGCTGGCATAGGCGGGGAGAAGAAAGAGCTGTAGCAAGCACTGCTGTGGACTCCAGCCACTTCTCAGGCACACGGACCTGTGATCATATCCTCCTGCCTCTTATCCAGGTACACATAGTCCCATCATTGGCAAGATGCAAACACACATGGTCTTAGCCTGAACATATGGGAGTTACTTTACATCTCCTCCCATCCTGGACTGGCCTCTGGCTGTTGTCCACACCCCTCCACTCCATAGTTTGGGAGTTACAAACTAGAAGTTGAGTACATTTAGTTGCCATCAGTACAAAAATCTAAGGTGGGAGAAGAGGGAAGATCCAGAATACTTTGAGGATGCAGGTCAGCAGGACTCTGGTCACCCACACACCTCTGCAGGTGTAAACCATATCCTCTCCTGGGCTGGTGTGCCCCATCTGATTCCCACCTTGGGAAATCGCAGATGTATGTTTGCAACATCAATGTTTGTTGCTCAGGGCATTTTTGCTGTGAGAGCTGATGCCCATGGAAGCAGCACACTGACCTTCAGCTTCAGGTCAGCACTGTCAGCTGTGGGGCTGTCCCTGCTGGAGCCCAAACCCAAACCACCTTGCTGGAGTCCCTCTCTGAATGGAGATCTCACCTACAGGGTCCCTGTCTCCTGCATTAGGAAGGAAAACCAGTGTCATGGCCAAAACTGTCCTGAGGCTGCAGTGCTGGTCCCTTCCAGCACTAACCCTCCCACGGTGCGTGTACCTCCTTACCCTCAAGTCCTTGACAAAAGAAAGAAGTGCTGTGAATTGTCCCTGTTTTACCAGGAAAACAGAGGCACAGAAGGGTTAAATTATCCTGCTGGCAGTATGGGAATTAGATGAAAATTTCTCAGGCACTTGTACCCTCTGTTTTCCCCAGCATACCAAAGGGCCAGACCATCTCCTTGGCTTTCCAGACATTTGACTTCCTTGACCCCTAAATAGTTTCATCTTTCCTCCAAATGGCTTCGAGTCCTCCACATGACACAAACCAACAGGCATTTCAGTCTGTTTCTGGTCATTGCTATTTGCAGTGTAAGGCCAAATACTGCAAAGCCAATATTGTGAAAATGCTGCCAAGACATTGTTATTTATAATAGTTTATTGCAAAGAGGACTCTGTTTGCAGTGCAGTCAGCTACCTCGGCTATAAATTCAGGGAGGCAGAGCCACAGCTGGCACGAGCCAATCCAGCAGGAAATGTGTCTCATGCCAGAATTATTTATCTGGAAAGGGCAAGCACATCTAAGGTCCTGTAATCCAGTGCTTGGAAAAAAAGCAGATACTCCCCCCCTCCTCTCTGTCAGAGGTAATTGATCTACAAATCCCATGTACTGTTCTGGGCAGTGTTCCCTGTACTTCATCTTGTATAATAAAGCTATCCAGATTATTAAATAAAGCTATTCAACAAGCATCAGACTCAGATTTTACTGGGTCCTTTTCATGTACGTTCCCAGTGCTGTGCCAGTTCTGTTCCCTTAGCAGGGTCTGATTTCTTGGGTCTACATAAGCACATGAAATACCAAGGAAACAACCTCTTTAGCTCAGTCTCTCTGACCAGCCCATTTGGGTCACGCAAAGACGCCGTTCCCACTGCACTTCAGTTTCATCCACGTTACACCTGACCTCCTCTACATTTCACATTGACGTGCCCTGCAGCCACAGTGCCAATGTGCTGGTGATCAAAGGTGCCTCCGGACCCTGAACACGCACACACATGGCAACCAGCATCTAATGCCACGTCCCAGCCCTGCACAGAGCATCACACCTGGAGGAGCCCTTCCGTCACCTCATCAGCTCCAACCAGCCTTGCATGGACCTCTCACTTCTACCACCAACCCCCAAGAACGACCGTAGTTGCAGCTTAGATACAAATGTTGTGTTAGGAAGATATTGTGATTTTGGGCTATTTTTGAGTTGTACATGTAACAGCAGGGATGGGAGCAGCACTTTCAGACTTGCTGCTCAAGTGGAGCAGCACTTTCAGGCCTGTTGACACATTTCTGAGCATTTTCTTTGTGCTTCATTGGCATGAAAAGCTGATAGAGTTTTATTTTGTGCAATTAAGTAGTTCAGTAACTTGTGAAGTGACAAGTTCTGCTCATTGCAGTAGTCAAAATCCAGAAGATTTTCTAGAAATGGGGGACATTACCAGGCACCTTGACCTAGCTTGCTGGACCCCATTAGATTTGTTGCAAACTTATTATACTTTATTTTTAAACAGTGAAACAGATTAAAATACCCTAGAGAATGAGCTGCTCAGTATTGAACAAGATGCAAAAGGAGTTGAAATCTTTGGTTGCTAGCATACTGGCAAAGCTTCCCTGACTTTGTAAGGAGGGAATAGATCTTGGTACTTGAAGCTGAGATTTTAACTCTTTCCTCACATTTTTGTCAGCTCTGCCTCTCTGCTGGCTAAGCATTAATCATTAAATTTACCAGATTTGATGCACTTAACGTTTTGTGTCATTCTTAGACATTGTAAATCTACAGCCATGCAGTCTGAGCCTGTGAAAAACATATAGCCAACTCCTTTAGCAACCGCATGCTGATCTGACTGTGCTGACAGCCACCCAGCACTCCTGATCAGCGCACAGCCTGTCATGAAACAAAGATGCCTTGAATTTGGGGTTTTAAGAAAGCTAGAGTAATGATCCAGTCCATACCCCTTCCCCTGTGTAAGATCAAAAGTAATCTCTGAGAGATAAATACACAACCTGATCTCCCATTGCAGAAACTCTATGCTTTCCCCAAATCACCCGTTTCAGAGCGTTTTCCTAGCGTCAAGCCTATATCTCACTGGAGCTCTTGACTTTTGTCCTTTCCGTAAGGGAGAAGAACAAATTACTACCTGCCTTGTGGTGTTTGGCATCCTCTTCAAGTTTGCACAAGCAAAAAGGACGGGACTAGAGCTATGATCAGGTAATTGCAGTTCTTCACAGATCCCGGGTTAGCAGATGTTACACCTATGTGTCTACAGCTTGTTGGAAGTTGATTAAACCAAGGAACAGCTTGCAGCCAAATAACTAGCACAGTTGTAATTAACCTATGCAAGGAAGCAAACTGGGGTTGCAGGTGTATGACTGGCAGTTCTCTACCGCATTATTCACTTAATGTGGGATATCTAGAAGTAATGAAGTAGCTCATTGTATTGGGTTTGCATGGCAAGGTTTTGGGAGCAGGGGGGGCTACAGGGATGGCTTCCATGAGAAGCTGCCAGAAGCTTCCCCTGTGTCCGATAGAGACAATGCCAGCTGGCCACCGCTGGCCAAGGCCAAGCCAGTCAGCAACAGTGTGGTAGCACCTCTGGGATAACATACTTAATAAGGAGGAAAAAAAAAAAGGAGGAAAAAAAAAAAAGTAACTCAAACTGCAGCTGGAATGAGGAGTGAGAATATGTGAGGAACGACTCTGCAGACACCAAGGTCAGTGCAGGAGGAGAGCAGAAGCTGCTCCAGACACCGGAGCAGAGATTCCCCTGCAGCCCTGGTGCAGCCCATGGTGAGGCAGCTGTGCCCTGCACCCATGGAGGCCCATGGGGGAGCAGAGATCCACCTGAACCCGGGGAGGAGCCCACGCCGGAGCAGGGGATGTGCCCAGAGGAGGCTGTGACCCCGGGGGAAGCCCGCACTGGAGCAGGCTCCTGGCAGGAGCTGTGGCCCCGTGGGGAGAGGAGCCCAGGCTGGAGCAGGTTTGGTGGCAGGGCTGGGGACCCCGCGGGGGACCCACGCTGAAGCAGGCTGCTGCTGAAGAGCTGCACCCCATGGAAGTGACCCACGCCAGAGCAGTTCATGAAGAGTTGCAGCCCGTGGGAACGACCCACACTGAAGCAGTTCATGGAGGACTGTCTCCCATGGGAAGGAGCCACATTGGAGAAGTCGGTGGAGGACTGTCTGCTGTGGGAGGGACCCCACGCTGGAGCAGGGGAGGAGTGTGAGGAGTCCTCCCCTGAGGAGGAAGGAGCAGCAGAGACAACATGTGATGGACTGACCGCAACCTGCATTCCCCATCCCCCTGCACTGCTGGAAGGGAGGAGGGAGAGAAAATCAGGAGTGAAGTTGAGCTTGGGAAGAAGGGGTGGGGGAAGGTATTTTAAGATTTGGTTTTATTTCTCATTTCCCTACTATGATTTGATTGGCAATAAATGAAACTGATTTTCCCCAAGTCGAGTCTGTTTTGCCCGTGATGGTAATTGCTCAGTGATTTCCCTGTCCTTATCTCGACCCACCAGCCTTTTCGTTATATTTTCTCTCCCCTGTCCAGTTGAGGAGGGGAGTGATAGAGCAGTTTTGGTGGGCACTTGGCATCCAGCCAGGGTCAAACCACCATACTCATTAACTCAGTAAGAGACAAGGTCCTTTTAGATGTATTGGCACATCTGCACAGTAGCTTTTCTGGATAGATTATTTCATATTCCACCGTGATTTGGCTAAAATTTGAACTCGGCTCAGAGCTTGGCCCTGAGCTTAAAAATACTGGCATAACCTCAGATTAAATGAAAAAAAAAAAATCTACCCAGCATACCTGGATGTGACCCTGGCTGTGCCTACATCACCTTCAAATACTGTTTCTCTCTCACACAACCAAGTAACATCTCAACCTGCCAAAATGACCTGCATGGAAATATTTATATGCCTTAAGGAACCTGATCACTCTAACCACTCACTGCTGGGACTTCAGAGACACTAATCATCACAGAGGAGAAACTGCTGCCTGGGAAAAGCCAGGAATAGCAGCGGTTTGTAAACAAATTCACTCCTCTTTCCCACTGCATGGGTTATGTCTTTCCCAGCATTAAGCAGTGCCAAACAGCTCTTTGGTCCACAAAGGGGGAACATTTTATCTCTGGGTGGGCAAATATCCCTCTGGGCCTGACTAGCTGTTCTCCTGGCACACACACAATGGTGCATGTGTCCTTCGGGCTTGATCCTGTCGGTGTAAAACTCGCTTTGGA